AGGAATTCTCTTTATGCAATATATTCTCAAAATTTATTTAATCAGCTGATATAAGATCATTACATATTTTTTTCTAATTTTTTGTTATTTTTTGAGAATGATTTATCTAAAAATATGCAACTGATTTATTCTATATCCTCCACAAAAACTAAATTTCAATATATATGTAAGTATTTAATAGAATATCTAATAATTGTAGAAAAGAGTTATTACAACGGTTTATGCACTAGATTCATAATTATACCTAATTAATTAAATTAAATTCTATATTATATATTTACATATGTTGTGTGATATTTACTCAGGGGATTAAATATGATAAACATTCATTAATAATAAACATAAAAATTCTATACCTTAGTATTCTTAAGACTATTGAATTTAATCTCTTCAAATTAATATTGTAAATTAATTTTACTATGAATAAGTTTACTATTTGTTTAAGTCGAGAAAAAATTAATATTATAAATGAATATATCAAGTTAATTTTTATGATATTTTAACATTATTAGTAGAAATATTTTAAGTAGCCTCTATATTATCATATATTAAATTAAAGAACTGGCTGTCATAAAATAATTAGAACATTATTAATAAATTATTTATTATTACCTCTTGTAAGTAGATACTTCAACATTTCACTAACAAGCCACAATCTAAAAATTCAATTCATTAACACGACTAACTATTCCTTTTGGCAATTCTTCATTTTGACTAAGATAATTCAATTTGTTTTAAAATAAGATATACTCTGCAACAGCCCAAAAATATTCAAATATCTTCTATAATTATAATCTATCTATTTATTTTAAGAATGCTCCCAAATAAAAATACTTATTTATTTTTGGAATCTTCTTATCCATAAATATACTTTTTCTTATAAATTTAAGAAGTGATTAAATGTCTTACTGTTAAATCTTTTCTTGTAAACTAGGTTGCTCATTTACAAGTTACAAATTCTTCTCTCCTCCATTTTAATATATAAATTCAAATTTATAAAAAATTCACAACATATAAAAAAATATGTTTGGAAAATTTTTAATTTCACAACTTTTAGTTTTTATTCTTAAATATTCAAAATTAGATGTATTCCTTATAGTTCTAAATTTAGATATAAAATAGACTACAATTTATTAGCCAACCAGATTTCATATATTATTTATTGGTTTGCATGTTTTTAAGTCTAAAAATATTTTATTAAATACTCACCACTTAAAATTCTTTTAAATATTATAAATCAAAACAATTAAATATTTATATTAAGTAAATAATTACTCAGAGAAACTAAAAGAAATAGTGAAATTTCATTTAAGATTTTAATTCACTATGAAATAGAAGATTGTTTCTTAATTAATTTTTAAATAGTTGAATTTTATATTTGTAAAGAATTTTATAATAAAAATCTATATTGAAAAATCATTTTACTAACATGCCGAAGATAAAAATAGGTATATATGATTGCAATTAAAAGGTTAAATAAGAAAATCACTATATAAATTTTTCTTTAAAGAATTTAAATTAAAGGAAATTAAATTTTTTTAATGTAAGATTCATCATCAAAAATTCTTTTCTTTTTAGAATCTTGCAGTCAATAATACCTTATATTACTTAAGGAAAGAATAGAAAAAATAATTATATTTTGAAATAGAATAATGAAATCTAATACTTATAATGAATTATTTATTTCATTTATACTATATTTCATATATCTCATATTT